TATGCCAAAATCACTGCTGCAACCCCCCCACCCCCCCCATTGCTGAAGACACTAATCTGTGGCTTCACATGGTGTTCATTTAGTCTGCCGCCGCCTGTCCTTGGCTGTTTTGAAAGCCAAACACAACTGTGCTTGTTGTTAAAAATATAACCAGGAAAAAATGTAATTGCTCTATAGGGTGTTTGCAGGTCAAAATACATTTAATCAGCCGCAGGGTGTGAATTGGCAGACTGTGTGCCACATGGTGCCTTAGTGTTCATGCACGTGTATCGATAATGGATGTGCGCCAAAGCTGCACCCACCCACCCACTCAAGAGATCTTACTTTCAGGGACCATGTGGGGAGGGAATGGAAGCCTGAAGTTGCCCATGCTGGGAACTCACAAAGTGATAACAAGGCTTCCTCTAAGAGACAGAAAAGTTGTCCATGCTGGAAACTCACAAAGTGATAACAAGGCTTCCTCTAAGGGACAGAAATAGGGGCAGTGATTTGCCAGGGGGAAGAACCAGGAAATGGACCATCATGGAAATATGCAAAGATTTCTGGTATTCACACATGAGGCTGTTGTATAGTGAATCAGACCATTGGTCCATCATGGTCAGCATCCTGCTGAGACTGGCAGCAGCTCTCCAGGTTTGTGGTACAGGTGTTTCACTTCACCTTCTTCCTGGTCCTTTTAACTGAAGTTCTGGGGATTGAACGTCCACATTCAGAGGCAGTCACCCTCTGAATCTTAGTGCCAGGAGGCAACGTCAGGGGAAGGCCTCGGCCTCTCTGCCCTGTTGTTGGCCCTCCCAGAGGAACTGGTTGGGGCCACTGTGTGAGACAGGATGCTGGACTAGATGGACCCTCACTGGTCTGATCCAGCAGGGCTCTTCTTCTATCTTTACCTGGGACCTTTTGCATGCAAAGCAGAGGCTGTTCCACTGAGTCGCAGCCCCTCTCCAAATTTCATGCGTTTACGGTTGCAGGTTGACTTCTAGCTCTCCCCCACTCCCTTTACCCCAGGCCTTCACCAGCGTCACTGATGCCTCATTTTATTTAAGAAATTTTAATCCCACTCTTCCTGGCACTTGAGATGAGCTCACAATAAATGCAAATCTAACAGATAACAATTAAAATTGCAACATGCAAAAAAAAAAAAAAAGAGGGGAAAAATCCCAACATTTAAATTAAAAATAACACAGCCTGACATTAAAGCTATCATCCATGCAACCCTCCGCCCACCAATCGAGGATTAAAAGCCTGTTTTAAAAGCTCTGCTTTGCAAGCTGTGAGAAATATACTCCGCAAGGTTGCCTTCCTCACTCGTTCGAGGAGACTGTGTCGTGCCACGGAGCGGGAGTTGCTACGGAGAAGGTTTGCTTCCTTGCCAACTCAGATTTAGGATTGACTTTAGGTCCGTAGTGCTGGCGATGCCGATGCACTTCCCACATGGGAGCTTTCACGTGCAAGACACGGAGCCACTTTACAGAAGCAGCAAGCGTAGTTTCAACGAGACGTTGTACTGGGCAAAGGTCCGACAGGCAAGTTCTTTCACTGTGCTGGTGTCCTAGCATGTAGTGCTTGAGAAGACGGGTGGATGCTAGGCACGGGTCTGTGGGAACAGGGTCTGCATAGAGGAGCTATGAGCCCTGGTGACTAAAGTGGGACTTCCATGTTCAGAGGTACTAAAAATCCCAGAGCCAGGAGGCAATATCAGGGGAAGGCCTCGGCCTCTCTGCCCTGCTGTTGGCCCTCCAGAGGAACTGGTTGGCCACTGGCTGAGACAGGATGCTGGACTGGATGGACCCTCACTGGTCTGATCCAGCAGGGCCCTTCTTATGCTCTTATGAAGGCCTCGGCCTCTGTGCCCTGCTGCTGGCTCTCCAGAGGAACTGGTTGGCCACTGGCTGAGACAGGATGCTGGACTAGAGGGACTATTGGTCTGGCCCAGCAGGGCTCTTCTTGTGTTCTTATATTATTTGGATCCAAATTTGCTCTGGGGAAACCAAGCAAAAGAGAGAAACTTCTCTTCCGCCCCGTCTCACTGCTGCTATAAAGGAGCTGCAGGCTTAGGCTCATAAACCTAAGGGGAACTGAGCACACCTGTGTGTGGTGTGTGTGTGTTAAGTGCCCTCGAGTTACTTCCGACTTATGGCGACCCTATGAATCAGTGACCTCCAAAACATTCTGTTGTTAACAGCCTGGCTCAGGTCTTGCAAACGGAGGGCCCTTGTGGCTTCCTTGATGGGAGTCCATCCATCTCCTGTTGGGTCGGCCTGGGCTCTTTTTGTATCAGGTACTCATTTGCATATTAAGCGACACACCCCTAATGTAGCCAATCCTCCAAGAGCTTACAGTAGCTCCTGTAAGAAGATCTCTGTAAGCTCTTGGAGGATTGGCTACATTAGGAGTGTGTGGCCTAATATGCAAAGGAGTTCCTGCTACAAAAGAGCCCTCTTTTCTTGCTGCCTTCAGCTTTTCCTAGCATTATTGTCTTTTCCAGTGACTCTTGTCT